CACCCCCCCCCCCCCCGGTCTCATCGAAGCCTCCAAGGGTGGTACTTTTTTCTCCCTTCTGCTTCTCCAAATACAAAAGGGTACCGGAAATTTCAATTTGTTCAGGTTTTTGTTAATTGTTGCTGCAGAATCAGCTGTCTTGAAGAGAAAGCGATCTCATTAGGCATGTTTTATGTCTTTAAAGATGACATTAAATGTAAATATTAAACAAATGCTATGTGCCACTCCCCCCCAAAAAAAGAGTAAGTAGTAGACTGTGTGTATGCAGAAAAAGACTCCCCCAGAAGACATTCTAGAAAGCAAGGGAGGTTGCCTGGATCAGCCCTCAGTGTGGAAGTACTATTTTTGTAAGATCAGGTCCTATAGTCCACTCAGTCAACTTTATGGATGGTTGAACTGGCTGGCTTTGTGTATAGCAAAATTGATCTATAAGCTAAATAATACACTGTTCTGCTTTGAGAAGCCATCTAGTATTGGAAACCGAAACATTCGCTTTTTAGTGGGAGATCTCAAGAGCTGTAGCAATGGGGCTGTGAAAACGGTGATGAAAATTGGAAAACCCGTAATAAAATGCTCAGAACCCCATCCAGGGTGCCTTAATCCATGACCGTTATACATGGAACAGTGATCCGGTTCCTAAAACTCAGCACAGATCCATTTTATGTCGGATCTACTCAACCATACAGTCTACTCCGTAGGAGGTATAATTTGAAAAAAGCCATCTGGGGAAAGTTGAAAGCAATGCTAGAGGCAGCTGTGTTTCGGATTGCCCTTCAGCTAGAGAACTATGAATAATTTGTAACTTTCCATTCTGGAATGGCCTTGTGTTTCTATTAGTTACTTGGCGTAGGTCTCTGGCTGCAGAACCAGAGGCTGGGAATTCCAATTCCTCACTTGTGCCTCCTTGACGGGTTGGACTCCATGTTCCAGAGGGTCCCTTCCAGCTCTTCAGTTCAAAGGTTATGTGCTATATGAACGAATCTACATAATGTCCAGTCCTGCTCAGCCTGTGTGTTATCATTTTTATCTCTAGAGATAGTTCAGGCTTCATTTACTCCAGGACACATTTACTCCAGGACTCTAAAAGAGGCCTTGATTCAGTAGCTCTTGTCCGGGTGATCTTGCAGAAATAAAAGCAAATCAGATCCCAGCCTGGGGAGCAACTGTGGGAGGAAGGCGGAAATTTCTGGTGGAACCAGAAGTAATGGGAGGCATGGGTGCAATTAACTTGATGCATTTAAATCACAGTAGATGAAGGGGGGGGGATAAGAGCCGTGAAATCAAGACACAATCTGGAACCTTGTGGCACAGTGGTTAAATTGCAGTATTGCAGCCAGTTCAATCCCTGGTAGCCACTTTAAGGGTGACTCGGCCTTCCAAGATCAGTAAACTGAGTGCCCATATCTCTGCAAGAGGACAGTGTGCAGCCTGCATCATTAAACTGTAAACCGTTCAGAGCGAGCGTTAAGTGTGATGAGGCCATATATAAGCAGCATGCTTTACATTGAACACAGTGCAATGATAAAGGGAAAAATGCAAAACATAACAATCCAGGTAAGATTAAAAGAATTGCGCTCCAGTTTGTAGAAAGACTCAGAGGAGGGAGGGAAATAAGAAAGGTCTCCTCTCCCCAGGAATTGATGCATCTGGAGCAATAACTTCACCAGCACCAGCACCCAAAAATGGCATTGCATCCCCCAGGAATCCTTTTTCTCCCACTGCAAAGTTGCTCAATCCTCCTGCCCGGCATTGCCATTATTATTTTTGTCCAATCTTATATGGTTCTAGATGTGGGGGGGAAAGAAGGAAATGTTTCTCTGGAGCAGGGGTGGGAGTTCGATTCCCCCACTGGGCCTCCTGGACAGGGGCTGGACTAGATGATCCATGGGGTCCCTTCCAGCTTTGCAGTTCCAAGAGGAAGAGGACCAAAGATGTGATTTGGAGGGAGGGGAGAAAAGATGGAAAGGTCCTTCTTGGGAAAGATCTCAGGGGGAAGGGGGGGGTTTCCCGCTCAGAGATCCTTGAAAAATAATTTCAGGCCATCAAGTTGATTTCAATTTATGGCAACCCTTATCAGGTAAAGAATACGCAGCAGTAGTTGACCCTTTCCTTCTTCCGGGGGTGCCCTGGGACTGTGGTGCAGCTCAATGCCATCCAGGCTGTCTTTACTCACAGGAAGGCCCAGAGGGGGGGTCGAATAGAACTCCCAACCTCTGGCTCCACAGCTGGATTCCCAAACCGCAGAGCTATCCGGCCAGGGATCCTTATCCAGGCACAATGCCATCTATATTCCTTCGTGATCTTGTCTGGCGGCTCCCCTGGTCTCCCCGTCTCCTCTTTTCAATGCTCTGCCCCTCCCACAAAAGAAGCAACAGGGAAGCTTGAAGGGGACACTTTGAGGAGACCACGTTGCCTGTTTTTTCTGGCTTCTTTGGAGAAAAAGCTCTGGCTGAAATATCAGCTTTTCCATCACACCGCCTTCAACTAGGAAGCACTTTAACCGGCAGCCGTGAGAAAGCTTTCCAGCGGCTCAGGACTCTTCCTCGGGCAGCAGCTTTGAGCCAAGTGGGCTTTGAGGACGACATGCAGGAAAGGAAGAGTCCATTTAGTTCTGGGTCTTTGCCACTGGTGATTTTGAGGGCAAAATGTGGTCGCTTTGGAGGCTCAAGAAACGAAACTGTAGATCAGCAGCCTCCCTTCCTGAGATAGCTGAGCTGGTCTCAAGGGTGATGTTGGGGTCTCCGCAGTTCGTCACGCTGGGGGACGTCAAAATCCATGCTGAGGCAGCCTTTGTCAGGAATGGCTCAGGACTTCATGTCCTCTGTGATGACCATGGATCTGGTCCCACCTTTGTATCTGGCCACACACTAAAGTCTGCAGGGCACACTTTAGACCACATGTTGGTGACGGACAAACCCAGAAAGGATTTACAACTTCATGCATGGCTATAGAAGGAGAATCCCTTCAAAACCTGGGCTAATCAGAGCAGGAAGGAGATCCTAAGGAGTCACCAGGAGGAGTTCCCATTGTTGGTGCAAGAGGAGGAATAGAGAGGTACCAAAAGTGTCAATCATTTTTTTTTTTTTGGTAGGAGGGAATGAAAAAAGGCCTTGCCCTTAATGCAATAGGACCCCAGTATCTACAAGAGATTGGTTCCAAGTCCCGGATCCCAGGTATGCTGAAAAATACAGAATTATGGAACGCTAGGGACATTGCATGGCCTTTGGCTCCCTCTAATGGTCAGTTCTGGTCAATGCACCTTGAAAATACATTAATGGGGGGGGATACAGGGGCGGCTCCTCGTTTTTGCCCCCTCCCTCAGTGGGGGAGGGGCTATCCTTCTAGGCCAAGCCCCGCCCTCTTCGCCTATGGCCGCTGCGGAGGAGTGGCGCGCATGCGCCCACTGACGCGTGGGCACCGAGAAGGAGGAGGCGGTGCTTTATATTTCTCCTCAAGGGCGGAGCGTAGAGCTGGAAAGAGCGCCTCCCCCCAAGCGGAAGCAGCGCGCCGGCCTCTCCTTCCGCTCCGCCCCCCCCACCTCTATGGTCTCGGGAGACCACGCGCTGGCAGAGAAGGCTCCCTTGCCCGGTTTCCCGCGTCAGGACTTGGAAGGAGGTTAGGGCGCCGGTGGGGGGGGAGGGTGTTGCTTCATTTGGAGTGTGTGTGTGTGTGTGTGTC